AGCTTTACTTCAAATTCATTTTGAGCTCTCTTGGCAAACTTCTTGAAACAAGATGCAACTTCGGATTTGTCATGAAGGAAGAACACCCATGTATACCTTGAGTAGTCATCCACAATCACAAGACAATAGAGATTTCCTCCCAAACTCTTGTATGTTGTTGGTCCAAATAAATCCATGTGTAGGAGTTCTAGCACTCTTGTGGTTGACATGAAAGCTTTGGTTGGATGAGTGTTTGCAACTTGCTTGCCGGCTTGACATGCACTACAAAGCTTGTCCTTCTCAAACTTCACATCCTTCAACCCTCTCACCAAATCATTCTTCATAAGCTTCTTGAGTGAGCTCATCCCAACATGAGCAAGTCTTCTATGCCATAGCCACCCAAGTGTTGTTTTGGTGAATAGGCAAGTCTTCAAGTTTGCATCTTCGGAGGTGAAGTCAACTAGATATAAATTGTTGTATCTAAATCCATTGAATATCACTTGTTTGTCATCTACTTTGGATACAACAACTTACTTCTCGGTGAATAAGCATTGGAAGCCAAGATCACACAATTGCCCAATGGATAGCAAGTTGAAACTCAATGAGGCAACATAGAGTACATTGGAGATGGAATGATCATTTGATATTGCCACTTTGCCCAATCCTTTAACCTTGCCCTTTGAATTATCTCCAAATGTTATTTTCTCTTGTCCATCTACCTCTTCATCTAGTGAGGTGAACATACGAGGATCACCGGTCATATGTTGAGTGCAACCACTATCAATAACCCAATGACTTTCACCAGTCTTGTAGTTCACCTACACACAAGAGATTCAAGCTTTAGGGATCCAAACTTGTTGAGGGCCCTTCACCTTCTCAACAAGTGACTTAGCCACCCAAATCTTCTTAGGCCTACTCTTGTTGGGGGGTCCTAAGAACATGACTTTTATCTTTCCACTAGAATCTTTTCTAAGCATGTAGTGAGCATTGAAAGCAAAGGGTCTAGCATGCTTGGGCAAGGGTTGTGGTGGTGGGGTTTGACACTCATGAGCAAAGTGGCCTTCTTGTCCACACTCAAAACATCTCTTTGGCTTTAGCTTTAGCTTTGATTGTTGGTGTTGAGCTTGAGCCTTCTTCTTCTCTACACTTGCCGTATAACCAATGCCACTTCTATCCATCTTCATGACGGTATTCATGAGTAGCTCACTTTGGAGATGCTTGCCTCTAGCAAACTTGCTCAATCCCACCTTGAGATGCTCTTTCTCCATCTTGAGCTTCTTGTTCTCTTCCTTGAGAATATCATTGTTCTTCTCTTCCTTGAGTTTCTTGTTTTCTTCTTTGAGCTTCTCATTCTCAAGGATCAACTCTTTGTCATGATCAAGAGTTTCTAGCACAATGGTGTTGTGACTTTTCATCTCTTCAAGATCTTTCATGAATTTTTCATGGTCACTCTTGAGCTTGACATACTCATCATAGTCATTGCACTCAACCACTTGCTTGCCTTTGCTACTAGATCCATGCTTAATGCTCTCATCAATTAAATCGTCACATGAGGTAGCTATATCAATCTTAACAACATGGTTAGTAGCAACATGTGGCTCAATTGGTAAGAATTCTTGTGCAATAACAAGGGTATTATAATTGATCTTTAGAGTTGTATATTCATCTTTTAGCTTGTTGTGACTAATGATAAGTTCATTGTGCACCCACTCAAGTTTATCATGTTTATCTTTAAGCTCTTTCTTAGAAGATTTGAGCTCCTTGAGTTTGGATGATATAGAATCATTTGTTTCTTTGAGCTCATCATTAGCCTTTTCTAATGTATCACACTTAGCTAAGAGTGAATCATTTTTAGCATCAAGTTTTTCATTAGTAGCTCTACTCTTTCTAATGATCTTAGTGTATTTTCTTAATATTTTGACAAGATCATCATATGTGGGTGAGTCATCATCGCTATCACTATCATCATCACTAGCTTGCTCATCATCACTACTATCATCACTCTTAGTTACCTTGCGTTCACCCTTGGCCATAAGGCATAGGTGTGTAGAGGATGATGGCGATGGTGGCGGTGAGGATGCAAGATCAATAGCAATGGCGGCCACCTTCTCATTGTCACTCTCATCATCGGATGAACCACTTGATGAATCAATGTCCGTGAGCCAATCACCGACAATATAGGCCTTGCCACTCTTCTTCTTCTTGTAGAGGTCTCTCTTTTTGCCATCTCTCTTCTTGTATGGCTTGTTCTTTTTCTTTTCATCTTCATCACTTGAATCATCTTTCTTGCCCTTGTTCTTGAACTTGTCTTTCTTGGGCTTTGTGCATTGATGAGCTAGGTGGCCAAGTTCGCCACAATTGTAGCAATCCATCTCGGAGATTGGCTTTCTTCTTGAGCTAGTGAAGAACTTCTTCTTCTTGCCGTCAAACTTGATGCCACTCTTGTTTAGCTTCTTTAGCATCTTGGCGGTCTTTTTCATCATGAGAGCAAGACTTTCTTCATCATCTTCATCACTTGAGCTCTCATACTCAAGTCTTGCCTTGCCCTTATCTTGGCTAGCTTTGAATGCTAAGTCCTTCTCTTTCTTCTTTGTAGAGGTTGAGCCATCTTGTGGCGTGATGTGCATGTACATCTCATGAGCATTGATCTTTCCCAAGATTTGTGTCGGTGTAGCGGCGGAAAGATCACCTTGATGTAGCATGGTCACAATGTGCCCATATTTGTCAATGGGGAGGACACTCAAGATCTTTCTCACAACGTCGGATGGTGACATTTGAGTAAGTCCAAGCCCATTGACTTTCTCTACAAGAACATTCAAACGAGAATACATTTCATTTGCACTTTCTTTGGGAAGCATCTCAAAAGAATTTAGCTTTTTAATCACAAGATGATAGCGTTCCTCACGCTCACTCTTGGTTCCCTCATGGAGCGCACAAACGTCCGACCATAGTGCATGGGCGTCTTTGTGGTTCCTTACACGATTGAACACATCTTTGCAAAGGCCTCTAAAGATGGTGTTGCGAGCCTTTGCATTCTATTTTTCATAGTTTACTTCATCGCTTTGAAGTTGTGCGGCATTCTTAGGTGTTGGGAACCCTTGAGAGGTGGCTCTAAGAATTCCAACATCTAGAGCTTCTAGGTAAGCCTCCATGTGAATTTTCCAATATGGAAAATCACCCCCCTCGAAGATAGGAGGAGGTCCATCCCCGTGAGACATCTTGCTCTAAGCGGTTAGGCTTAAAAACGTGAGCACGAGGCTCTGATACCAATTGAAAGGATCAAGATGCCCAAGAGGGGGGGTGAATTGGGCTAATTCTAAATTTTCTTGCAATAATCAAATCCTACGGATAGCCCAATTAACCCCTTGTGCCTAGAAAAGTGTTTATATCAAACTAATGCACAACAACCTCGCAACCTATGTTCCAAACTTACTCTAGCAAGCAATTCTATGGATGTGAAACAAGTATTGAATTGCTCAAAGTAAATACTCAAAGTAAGTGCTCAAAGTAAATAGAGAGAGAAAGGAACGCGGTGATGTTTTGCCGAGGTATCGGAGAGTCGCCACTCCCCACTAGTCCTCGTTGGAGCACCCGCGCAAGGGTGTAGCTCCCCCTTGATCTGCGCAAGGATCAAGTGCTCTCTCTGGGTTGATTCTTGACACTCCGTCATGGCCGAATCACCCAAAACCGCTCACAACTTGAGTTGGGTCACCCACAAGCTCCGCCGGGTGATCACCAAGCTCCCAATCACCACCAAGCCGTCTAGGTGATGGCGATCACCAAGAGTAACAAGCACGAACTCTCACTTGACCACGTGAAGCCTAATGAGAAGATGGATGCACACTTGTCTACTCTTGATTCACTAATGAGGTTTCACTCTTGGATTCTCAAATCACAAACACCTCACTAGGACCTTGCTCTTCTTGGCACTCACAAACGTGTTTCTCAGCTGTTGGAATAAGCAAAAGTCACTCCACACTCGAGTGGAGCTTCTATTTATAAAGGCGACTGAAAAAGCGAACCGTTATGAGCTTCTCGCGGGATGACCGGACGCTCCGATCATATTGACCGGACGCTCCGGGCCAGTTCAACCGCGCAACAGTTTCAAGTGATGACCGGGACGCCGGCGAGGTCCGGTTAAGACCGAACGGACGCGTCCGGTCGATCTTGATGCTTATCAGAAACGCACCGGACGCTGGATACTCGTGGTCCGGTCACCACCGACCGGACGCGTCCGGTCACACTTTCTCAAGTCTGGACCCTTCTTGGAGTCGGCCGGACTGGCTGGCCCCTGGCGTCCGGTCCACACTGACTTCCAGCGTCCGGTCACTCTAGACTTGTTCTCCTCGATCAAATAAAATGGCCGGACCTGCGGCGGCGGTCCGGCGTCCTTGAGCTGCCGGCCCGGCGTCCGGTCGAGATTTGACCCTCCATTCACTTCCAACTCTTGATCATATGTGAATGAAGTTAGCTCCAAAGGATCTTAGGCATTCATAGGAGCTACCTAGAGCTATTTTTAACAAGTGTGCACCACACCTAACTCACTAGACTCAACTAGGTCAAGCTACCCGTTCATACCCCCCTTCATAGTACGGCCAAAGGAAAAACAAAGTCCTAAACTACTCTAAGTGTCTCTCCAACATCAATTGACACTTAGAACTAGTTATCCTTAACCTTGTCGTCCATCCTTTGAAAACCGAAACGATTTCCATCGTAGGGGCATGACAACCTCAATTGCCCAATCGATCTCCATTACCATGACCTAACTTAATTACCTCTGCAAAACACACGTTAGTCATAGTAACCTTGTATTGACATTAATCACCGAAATTCACTTAGGGGCCTAGATGCTTTCAACAACCAAATGAGAGAAAAACTTCCTTGTTTGACGGATTGTCTTTGAAGATGTCTGCTGCTTTTAGCATATCTCCAGTTTGTAGCTCACTAAGCCCCTCAAGTACAGTGATGCATTTCTTGATACTGAAAGGATCATCTAGCTTCTTCTCCTCTATGGCAGCGAATCATTCAATCTCTTCTTTTTCTAGCTTCAAGTACTTCTCATGAAAATGATCAGTTGTAATAGTGTGCTTGGTCTTTTGCCTTTTATCACGCTTACCATCAACTGCCTCCGGAGTTGAACTAGATGGCCGGGCACTGTGATGAAGAGTTTCTTCAAATTGTTCAGGAACATGTGGTGCTATATTTATGGAAGATGGTCCATCTGGTGTTTTTTGAGGCAGGAAAGTTCCCAATGGAGTAAATGCTTCATTATTACCAAACCAATTAGTATCATCCCTGTACTCTTCAATATCAAAACTGAAAGAACCAAGAGCAGGTATACTAGCTGAAGGTGACTGCAGGTGCACATCAGGAGAAACTTATGAAGGCGATATTACCTTATTGGCATAATGATCCATACCACGACAACTTCTTCCTTCAGCATAACGCCCTGTAAAAATTATGACAATATTTTAGAGTGGTCATAAGTACTGTAATCACATCCAATGAAAATAATAACTAATCAGGCTCATATCAACTCACCATCATATAAAGCAAACAGATCATCATAGTATGGAAATGACTTGTCTCGCCAAAACAGAGCGTCCTTATTCTTGTGTGCCTCCATTGCTGCCCAAACATCTGGTGGTACCGTCACCATCATTCTATCGGAATCCCAGCCAAAACCACTTTCTGCCACCAAATCTTTTATGGTACGAAATTCTTTTTTCATATCCTGCTCCTTTTGTTTCACTTGTCCAATAGAGAACGACAAAGAAAATTTCTGATTAAACTGAGCCACAATACTAGTCCAAGCATCCTTACTCCATGCATTGTGTGTTCGAAATCTAGGCACATCATGGATTTTTAAGAGTTCAATAAGATATAGCCTCCTTTGGTGATTCCACTTAGCTCTATTCTTTGAGGTGCCTATGACAAACATGATGAAAATTCCAGTTTTAAAATAAGTTAAATAACAGATATTAGAGATCCTACCAGGAGAAAAAAAATCTAGAGGCATAATATACAAAACGTAAGTGCTATCTCCTTGTGCTAACTGCTATAAAAGTATCTGGAGAGAGTGCTTCCTAGTTACAAGCACACAAAAATAACATCTATTACAGAAACTTAGGGAAAAGATAAAAGGACTCCATAGATCAGATCTTTAAATAGAATATGTGTTGCCGGATCCACAAATTCGGATCTAGATCCAAAACAAGGGCAAAATAAAACTACTTTTGAAGGGGAAAATCATATCATTATCAAATCCTACCTGGTTCGTGGATTTCTTGACTTCCCCCGGATTGGTGGACATCAAGCCCCTGCACCGATGGAGTTGCAGGGAGAGACGGAGCGGGGAGAGGGGGATTTCGTGGGGATGGGGCGATTCGCTGCTGTTGGTTTGCCATCTCCGCCTGTTCGTGCCAAATTTCTCTAGGGTTCAATCACCATGGCGGGAGGGAGGAGTCGAGAGAGAGAGAGAGAGAGAGAGAGAGAGAGAGAGAGAGGCGACGGAAGAAAACGAGAGAGAAGCTTTCCCTTGGGTCACGGTGGATGTTTTATTTTCCGTGAAACACACGTAGCTGGAAGCCTTTCCTCCGGAACGGAAACTACGAATCCTATGTTCCAAACGTAGTCACGGGCTTTCTTTCCAGAGGAATGAAATCCTTCAAAATTCATATGAAAAAACTATGTTCGAAACACGCCCTTAGGGGAAATTCTAAGCTAAATAGTCAGTCTAGAAAGGATCCAACGGGCCCTAAACGAATAGATGGTATTTTTGGGCTGTCATTTGTTGGCCTACTCAGCCCACTACACGTGTCTATTTGACCTAGGCCCATCCGAATTCGCCCATAGATTCATATCGCAGGCAGCCGCCGCCACCGTCTCTGATCATCCACCTCGCAGAGTTCCGCAGCGGCGCAGCCTCCCCTCCGGCAATCAAATCATGTGAAGGACTTGCAAAATTGGTCATCCATGTCCTCTTCATCTGTCAGGTACTCGTAATTTTTGTAGAAACCTTCTCTGGAGATCCGACTACACTGTCATCATGTATTCATGTCATGGTGCTGGTCCATTCCCGTCTCCGATGCTGGCCGGCAGCGCCCCAATCAGGCAACCATTCTCCATCTCTGTTGACTAGATCGTCGTTTCCGATCTGATAGGTACATCTCGCGTGATCCCTCCGCGGCACGGAAGCGCTACTAATCCGTTCCGTCGATCGAGTCATATGGAAGAAGGCGGAGGCCATGGCGCGGGCGACCGCATCAGCAGCCTCCCCGACGACATCCTGTTCTCCATCCTCCTCCGCATCGGATCCACTCGCGCCGCCGCGCGCACCAGCGTGCTCTCCCGCCGCTGGCGCCACGTCTGGGCCCGCCTGCCAGAGCTCCGCCTCGGCACCTGCGACGTGCCGCCAGGGGCGACGCTCCTGGACTCCATTGACGCCGCCCTCGACGCGTGCTCTGCCCCGGCCGTCCAGCGCCTCGAAGTGGCCATGTACTGCCATGGCCTCCGAGTCCACGCGCGCCGCGTCGCGCCGTGGCTACGCTTCGCCTCGCAGCGCCGGGTGGGAGACCTCTATATCGAAGTGCCATCCAAGATGAAATTCTTCTTGTCTACTCCTAAGCCCAAGAAAGAGGAGCTCGAGCTTCCTGTGTGCGATGGGGCGACGAGAATCACTCTGTCGCTCGAACGACAATGGAGGCTCCGCCTCTCTCGGGTGGGCTCGTTCACGTCGCTGACCGACCTGCACATAAGCTGCGCCACCATGGAAGGCAGCGAGCTTGGCGCCCTTGTGTCCGAGCAGTGCCCGCGCCTGAGGAATCTCTACGTTTTCGTCAGGCTGGCTGCTGCCTCCAACGTGTCCATACGCTCCAACTCACTTGACTCCCTGTCATTCGACGTCGAAAACACCGAGAAGCTAGAAGTCATCGCCCCTAAGCTTGAAGTACTGACAGTATGTGATGCCACGATGGCAGATATCTCTGCCCCAAAGCTGGCCGAGATAAGTTGGGACGGTGACACTGGCTACGACCCTCTGTGCCACCGCTTTGCCAATGCTGGTCGTCACCTCCGGCTGCTAGACTTGGGCTCAAAGTGTGTTGTCGCTTCCCTGATGCATCGTTTCGACAAAGTTAATGTGCTGAAACTGAACCTGAACCTCTGCAATTTTAAGGTGTGTTGGTAGCAGTCATATTTTTCCTGAAAAATAACTGTTTTGCCTTCTGATCTTGTGATCACATTATTTCTCATCCTGGCAGGGAACGGAGGCATACACAAATTTCTTGAATGAAACGATTGCACTACCCAAGTGTGAGAAATTAAAGTTACGAGTATCATTAAGGGATTATGACCACAGCTTCGCGTCAAGCATGTTTCATCTCTTGAGGAACTGCAACAGCACAAGGAAGGTTTCAATAAAGGTCGATTCTGGCCACTTGACGGTAATCTCCATGCTTCTGCAAATGTGTCCTTTTATTGATGGCTTGGTTCAAGGCAACTTTAGTCCTTTCTGATTTCCTTGAGGTGGGGGGGCTGGGAGCAGACCTTAATGGTTATTCAACAAACTGATCATACGCCATAGGCAAGATTTCTGATAGCCAAAGTTTTGTTCTTCTTTTGTGCTGGATTATGGCTCACCTTTGTGTAGCTACAAACGGAGTGTGATTACATACTGTAGGTCGGAGTGAGACCATGGGGTAACTTCAATGTTGAGTGGCAAAAGTTAGTATAGGCCGAGCAGACACTGATCCACAAGAAAGTCATCACAGTTTGGTGGTGTAGTGACTTTTGCTGTGCTAAGAGTGGTGTCAACAAAGGGCCATGAAACAATGGGTAGTGTGTTAAACAGTTAGGGAAATGCGTGTCATTGGATCTTCCATTGATTGGTCGAGAAAAGTGACGATTACTTGTGTGTGGAAATGTCATGACCGTGGGGAAGTGACCAGATAGGGCAGGAGTGGGAAGTTGCCGGCCGTTCGCCGCCGGTTTCCTACCCGTGGTGGCTGGTGTGGGGAACAACAGGGAGATGAGAGAACAGAGAAAGGAGATGAGAATAGGAATTGGGTTGTAATTGCCTGTTTATTCCTTGATCACTACTGCATATAAAGGAGATTACAGCTTCATTGTCTCCTATACTCTTGCCTCTCCCTAATTCAAGCCTTCCTGATTTGATCCCTTGATCCTTTCCCGCCTAATTAGCCCCTATGACGGCATCTCTTCCCTCTTTCGGAAAGAGCTTGTCCTCGAGCTCGAACAATGGGCACTACTGCTTGAATGCAGGCGGGCTGGCTCTCCCAGCAAACAAGAATGTGCCACCATCCGCGGGCTAAATGGCTGCTCAACACCGCAGATGGCGTCAGAATGACCCGGCCATGGAGCATCGGCGGTAGAGGAAAAATATGCTTCTGGAGGCGTGCCGCAGAAGGCCTTGAGGACACCCACATGGAAGACATTGTGAATCTTGGTGCCATTTGGAAGACGCGTGCGGCCAACGACGTCGCCAATCCGTTCCAGGATATGGTATGGCCCATAGAAGCGGGGCGCAAGCTTCCACTTGGTTGCGGCTTGGAGTGAAGAAAAGGGCTGATGCAGGAGCTTGACCTAGTCCCAATCATGGACAGCGAACGTCAACGGAGTGTGCTTGGCGTCGTAGTACTACTTGGCTTGCTCCTAAGCATGGAGCAGTCGTTCCCGGGCGGCGAGTAGGAACATATCTTGATCTTGGAGGAGCTGATCAACTGCTAGGGCATGAGCATCGCCAGCTTCATTGGTCTTCATAGTTAGCGGATCGTGGCTGTAGGCTAGCTTGAAGGGAGTGGTGCTCAGGGACAAGTGGAAGAGGCGGTGTTGAAGCAGTACTCGGCCATGGCAGCCAACGCAACCACTGCTTGGGCCGGTCACCAGTCAGTCAGCGCAGGTACATGGGCCGCCTCAAACTATCCATCCAACTGTGGGTGGAAGGCGGAGCTCATCTGGAGCTTGGTCTCAGAGAGACTAAAGAGCTCGCGCCATAGGTGCTGGTGAAGACTAGGTCACGGTCACTGATGATGGACACCAGCGGGCCGTGGAGACGGACGATCTCGTTGAAGAAGGCACGAGCGATTGAGACAACCATGTAGGGGTGGCCAAGGGGGATGAAGTGCGCCGCTTTCAAGAGATGGTCCACCACCGTTAGGATTACGGTCTTGTTGTTGACGCGTGACAAGCCCTCGACGAAGTCCATCGTGACATCGCTCCAAATCAAGGCCGGCACTGACAGGGGCAGAAGGAGTCCCATGGGATGCAAGAGACTATTTTTGTTCTATTAACGGACGGCACAGTCGCCAACGAAGGCCTGCACCAGCGCCTTGTCGCTGGGGATGTGGAAATTAGTGCAAAGGTGATACCTTCATGGCCTATGTCGTGAACATGCTCCAACACGCGGTGAAGCATAGCCGACGATGCAGGGTTGAAGACACAGCGACGCATGGTTATGAGCCCGTCCACGTTAGACTAGTCGGGCCCTTTTCGTCTCGTGGCCTCTTGGGCGACGAGCTCCTATAGATCAGGGACGAGGGCGTGGAGATGGCGGCCACCTATAGGGGTTTCACGTCACGCTTGGAGAGGGCGTCCACGACAATGTTGGCACTACCGGAATGGTGGAGAGGCGCTGATCCAGCAGGTACTTGAGGTTGAAATGATCAGTCTTGACGATGAAGCGGTAGCCTAGAGGTATGGGCGCCAGTGCTGGACCGCCTAGGCGAGCACGATGAGCTCGCGTTCGTACGCCACCAAGCTAGAGTGGCGTGGAGCCATGGTGCGGATGAAGAACGCCACTAGCCCGTGGCCCTGATGCAGGACCGCGCCCATGCCGGAGCCCGATGCATCGCACTCGACCATGAAGGGCTCATTGAAGTCTGGCAGCTGGAGCACCAGGGCTGTGGAGAGGGCACGCTTGAGGGCGTTGAATGTGGTCGTCGCATCCTCTGTCCAGGCAAACCCCTCCTTGGTCAGTAGCTTGGTGATGGGTGTAACCATCGCACCTAGCCGCAGATGAAGCGGTGGTAGTAGCCCGCCAGGCCGAACAAGCCGCATAGGGTTCACGGGGACTTTAGAATGGGCCAGGCGTCAACAGCGTGGACCTTCTGATGATCCATGGCCACATCGGCCGTGGACACAACATGGCCCAGGTAGGACACCGTGGGCACGCCGAAGGCGCACTTGGCGCGCTTGAGGACGAGCTGGTGCTATTGGAGGACTTCAAGCACTAAGCAAACATGGCGTAGGTGACCCGCCCAACTCCTGTTGTAGATTAGTATGCCATCAAGGAAGATAGGGACGAAGCGGCAAAGGTACTGGCCCATGATGTCATTCATCAGAGCTTGGAACGTAGCTGGCGCGTTGGTGAGACCAAATGAGCCATGGTGAGTCCGGAAGGCCGTCTTGGGAACGTCAGCGAGGTTCATGCGAACCTGGTGGTAACTGGAGCGAAGGTCCAGCTTGGAGAAGATGCAGGTGCCGCAAAGCTCATCCAAGAGTTCTTCCACAACTGGGGTGGGGAACTTGTCCTTGATCGTGATGGCATTGAGCGCTCGGTAGTCCACGAATAACAGCCAGGACACCAGAAGCACCGGCGAGGAGAATGCCGAGTTGCTCAGGAGAATGCTGCCATGCCACAAAAGCCTAGCTCAGTGGCACTCCAATTCGTCCTTCTGGAGTTGAGGGTAGAGGTAGAGCCACACTACCACCGGCTGCGCCCCTCCATGAGATGGATGTGGTGGTCATGGGCGTGGCTGGCGGTAGTTGAGTCAACTTGGTGAAGAGGGAGCTGAACTCCTCGAGGAGGCTATCGAGTAGTGCCTCGGGCTGTAGGCCACGATAGGTTGGTGGGGAGCGCGGTAGGAAGATGGTGTGCGGGCGAGCTTCTGCTCGAACGCGTAGGCAAGGCTAATGGCATGCTCCAAGTCGCGGGCTTCGTGCATCTTGATGTCGAAGCAAAGCTCATTGAGGAGGCTAGAGCTGAACATCTGCTGCTCTTGCTTGCCCGTTAGAGGAGCGCCAGGAAGTGGCTCTAGTACTCGTTGATGGAGCTAGTCTGCCGGAGATGGCGTAGTTCACCCAGGGCGTTAATGCAGATTGGTGGCCCAAAGCGCACACTGTAGAGATCATGAAATACAGGCCACGACAGTGTATCATGGTCATGTACCAATGGTATGTGTCGTTGTTCCGATGGAAACAGGCCAGCCATACCTTGTGGTGCTCCCATGTTTGTTGTGCGGTGAAGAACTGCTTGCAACGATCGAGCCACGACAGTGGATTGTCCTTATCGTTGTAGTGTGGAAAATCCATCTTGAAGTAGCGGGGAACGAGGCCCTCCATCTCCCCGCGTGGATGATCCTCATCAAAATCGTTCACCAATATGAATCGTGTCTCTGGGTGGAGCCGCTGCCAGTGTCGGTGGAGCCACTGTTGCTGAGGAGGCCCTTGCCGCCCAGCAGAGGCGCCGTCAGGGCGGGTTGTGGTGGTGGAGGCCGCGATGGGGCGACGGAGCCGGCGGGCGGAACCGTCGACTACGACGACGCCACGCTGGTTGTGTCGGACTGGCCCTCTAGCTTGGCTGGACACACCAAGATGTCCGAGGCCTTGCCCGGTGACATCAGTCAGGACGGTCTGGAATCCCTTAACGACCAAGGTAAGCTCGCAGATGCCGGAGGTGACCGTCTTTAATCCCTCTTGGGCTTCCTTGCACACGGTGTCCTCCTGAGCCGCCAGGAGCTGCTTGATCTCATCGGTGTTGCCGGAACCCATGATAGGATCACTGGAGGCTGATACCAATTGTCACGACTGTGGGGAATGAGAAAATTCCCTATTTAGCATCACAGAACGACATACTTCCCTATATAGCATCCAAAGATTAAATTTTCCCAATGTAGCACTGGGTTTGTTTTTGTCCCCTATCTAGCACTACCGTAAGTACAGACCACTAACACCGTTAATTGGCAGTGAAAAAGTCCATTTGCAATGGATGTTTCATCTGTATAGAAGCAGGACATTTGTAATGAATATCAGCCCCTTTTTTGGCTAGATTATTTGTTTTCAACAATAAACAATTTTTAACAACATTATTTTTTTGACCAATGTATTGCAACAGCAGCCGCTTACATGAGATCTCCATATTATTTAGCAACTATAGATTGCTTAAGCCACACAAACCACATAGTTCGCACATATATCAAGTGTCCAAGTTCACATAAAGAAGACCACAGAAAACTATACATATTACATGGTACATAGATGGCACGAGAAATCAGAGACTGAGCCTTCTTTTGCTCCTAGTGCTCATTGCCGGGCTAGGAGGGACAACCATTTTGCTTTTGCTTCTTGTGCCCATTGCAAGGCTGTCAAGTGATTTCATGGGAATTTTTTGCATGTCATTCTTCATTTTCCCCTTTGCCTTTGGTTTGGACTTGACCTTTGGTTTTGCCTTAGCTGTCTTGAATGCATGTCCTGCAGCTGAGTTAGTGTGGTCACCCTC